AGAATGACCATATTGACGCCGTGCTTGAAGTGGACGCTAGATCGACGTAGCACAATGCCGAATAGAACTCTTGTTCGCAAGTAATCCACCGATTCTGGCCTTCCAAGCAACTGGAATTACGAGCACCTACTATGGCACCTGGCCTGTACTGTGACAAAATACATCGAAGGAGTCTGTTCCAGACTCCATTTGTCTGTTGCCGAAGCTCAGACTCTGGCAGAGGATCGAGAACGTTGGAAGCTGTCTGACGTGTTTGCCTTCTCGACCCCGAAGGAGCAGCGGCGATGGAAGATGATGATGATGATACTGTGACATGTAGTACTAGACCGTGGCTGGTAGTGAACTTACATCAACTGTGTGATTTCCCCCGTAGCTTGTTTTGCTCGTACACAAAATCGCAGTAATGGTCACACTTTTACCTAGAAAAGTGGTTCAACTACCTAGTCTGTCTGTTTCGGTCAAAATTCCTTTCTGTTGTTCTTAATCCGTTCCTTTACCGATTGTGGAGAGGTTTATTGGTCAGAATCTCATATTTTACACGTACGGGTATATTATTAATGAAGATTTGTGGAGACATCTACGTCTGAAAAGCCAGAGAGTAGGAGACTCATGAACGAGTTAAGATGGCTTACGCCCCGACTAAACAGAGCGGTCAACAGAGCACAACCAGCAAAATTTCATCATTTTGGATTGGAGAAGGAAGTTTAAAACTTTCGATCGACTACATTGTCAAGCTGTTTCGTCTACATGTTCCACGGTCTAGACAGCCGTTAGAGAAGCGAAGGTGAATTTTATTGCGAATTTTCACTGCGGCAACAAAGGGACTGTGGGCAGAAACCTTGATTGCCACCCTTGCCACGTGACTACAAAAACGGGGCACTTCAGAATGGCCGATTGTATTAATGATAAAAGTAGCCTAGCAAGTTCGGCGACAGTTGAACTGCTGGCAACCATTGAGGAGCTGGCTCTGATTTCGTGTGCTGAAGACCTAAATGTGAACCTTTTGCGGCACCCAAGTCTCGGTTTCAGACAGCAACACTGGAAAGGCACCGAGTTTGTAAAGCTGTAACGTGGAACAGTACAGTAGGGCGGTCGATATCCAGAACCGCGTTGCCTAGGCACCAAAGATTTGCGTCGTACTGATGAGTTGTGCTAACTCCCTAGAACTGCTCCTCAGCATAATTTGAGCACTGGTAACGGCCGCACTTGTTCCCTGATTCTGTGTTTTTATTTTGTGCCAAAAAGTTTCCAGACTGCATTTTTTCGACGTATCGCTGAACGTTAGCAGAACAGACGAAGGAACTCTGGAGAAAGGATGAAGATCGTAAAATCATTTTCGATAAATTCATGAAGGCAGAATCGTTACGGTAAATAAGCTAGCATTAAGGCATGCGTTCAAGGATCCAGAATGTCGTTGTCTGGCATTAAACGTTGGGTCAAGTACGCATCCATGTCTCACTCAGACGATGTGGAAAAATGTTCTGAGAGAGTTTAGCCGAATTGATTACGTGTCTTGACTGCGTTGTGTAGACTGCACAAGGGATTCAGCAACGAGTCCAGTGCGTTAATGAATTCGACTGCAAATGCGAATTGGCTTAATCCATGGAAATTCACGAGACTATGAATTAATGCAATGTCGTTCACTGGATTCCTTTACTTGAAACACATCACTGTCTCCTTGTAACTATCCACCTTCACATTCAGTCTCTATTTATTCCATAAATATTAAGTGGTTGTCAAGTTAATATCTTGGCAAGCGGCGGCGAATTTATTCCTCATGTAAATGAGTTTCGAAGCGAGTGATTCCCGCTCGCAACTCACCAATCAACTACAAAGCAAGAAATCTGTGATTGCAGCGGTCAAGACAAATTCAATCCTGCATGTTGGAACGTTCGTTGCCTGGCGAAGATCAGTTATGCAATGTCTGTCTTAGGCTCTTCGGTACAAACCCCATGTACTAGCGGTCACGGAACCTCGTCTTCCGGGTGAGGGGACACTTAATCTGCAGGAAAAGTAATCGTTATGGTTACGAGGTCACAGATGATCACGCTGTGCAGGTGTGTGTATCCCTTTTTCCTATACGGTAAATCGGTGGACTACGTGTCAGAGAGAATTTTGATCTGCCCATGAATGTCACACAGGCGAATGCATAGAGCGACAATGACGAAGACGCCTTCTATGACCTCTTAGACTCGGCTTTTAGCATTTCGTCGATGCAACAGTTGTCTGGTAACCTCAGCACGATGGGGCGCCGAGTGCAACACATGACGAGACGTACTCGGCGGTCATGGTATTCGTAGCGTCAGTGACAACAGCAGGCGGCGTCTGACAAATATCTTAAGCGTCGGCGGGTGCTTCTTCCTCACAAGCGCATTCACCAAACCACTTGGACGTCTCTCCATGGAAGACTGCACACTCAGCTGGATCGCGTCCTCATCAGCCGGAATTTGCGCAGCTTGCTACTCCCAGACCCGTGTCAGGCGTCGCGGCCGCATTAGGTCTGATCACTAAAACTAGTCATCGCATCTATACAGTCTGGAAACATCAGCTGCTGGATGTTGACAGGCTAAAATATGACGAAGGGATATGGCCGGCCTACCGATAGGAGGTAGAGAGTTAAGTGCCACCCTTTGTGCCCAATAGGGTAGTGGCAACGTCGATGAAATCTACAGAAGCGTCAAAGATGGTATCGTTATCGTTTCTTTGGCGAAAAACGTAGGTTGTGTCGCGAAGAGAATGGCCAAACTGTCCTGGGTTAGAAGACCCGTAGCCTTTAGGGCGCAAAGAAATTAGACAAAGAAGGAGTACTTACAACACCCTGCTGCACACTCGAAAGCAGCTCATCGCCGCCTAGTACTTACAGTCAACCAGAACTATAGGTGAGACGGAATTTTGATAGGAGGGTGAAATCAGGAAAAATGGCAGACAGCCAGAAAGGGCGGTCAATGCCGTTTGGGCGCAGACCGCTGGTTGATGTCAGCGCGTGATCCTACAGCCGCCGCATTGAATCTATTTTACTGGACAGTGGC